TTTTTCTGAATAAAAGGACAAAAATCGAAATTGATCTGCTCGACACAGTAGTTTTAACATCCATCATATTGGTGACATGTTTCGATTTCTGATGTTGACAGTGGATTTTTCTTAACTCACTTTTTTAATCTTCTTTAAAAATTTCAATACTTTCAATGTTTTATCAAATGAGAATAATTTTGTATAACACAGATTATAGCATATAACAAGAATAAGTGGACTATGAAGAGGATACTGAAGATAAATATGATATCGAATGACTATAGAGTATCTATGACGATACGGAGGATCCATTGGAGATACAAAGAATCTATTGGGATACGAAGGATACATCGCCAATACAGAAGATACGCGCCATACATTGGAGATACAGAAGATACGCACGATACATTGAGAATACAGAGGATACAGAGGATCCGACAATCCGACCATCCGCTTTTTCCCCCTTGCAAACACTGCTATTATATGTGACACTATCGTCATGTGATTTATTTCATCCAACTATATTTTTGCTCGTCGTCCTATTACCATATTATATGTTGAGTACAAAAAACACTTTGATATAGGACTGCCAAACGTACCCCATTTTGTCATTTTGCAACTCAGAAAATTTTATACCCCTGGAACAGACATTTCGTAACACGTCTGGCTTTTTAAATCTTTGCTGCGATATACTGATATTCTAATAAAAATAAATTATATTTTCCAATATAGTTTCTTTTATATTTTTACGGAGGTCTCTATAATGAAATGTATTGGCAAAGAGTTGACCAATGAATATTAGCATACAATATATTTATTTTATTTCGTCTTGAGTTATTCGATTTTTCATGCAATTTTTCACTCCTAAAATGAAAATAAAGTTTAATGAATCTTTTTCTTTTTCATTGTTTTTCCATTTTATTATTATTTTTGTCATATTTGACTAGTGCATATTATATGAAAAATTAATTTTAGATTTAAATTTCTACTCAAGGAATATGATAATACGGTTTACATGAAATTGAACGAAAATAATAGAATACAAACTTCTGAAAAATCAAGAGCAGAAATAATAACAATAGTTAACAAACCTTCTAGTTCTCTAGAAAAATTAAGTACAAATAACAAATAAAAGAAAAAGTTAATTCATCATTAAAGTCGAAAAGTCGTTGTACAAGGTGAGAAATAACATTTTGCCAGGGGGGATCGCTATAATTTCAAATAGAAGACATAATGAATTTTATATCGAATAAAAGCTCGTCAAAAGTGGGATTTATTGATACTAAATAGTTAGGATTATGAACACTTTTTAATATCGAACTTAAGAAACTTTCAGAAATTTTATACTTTTTTTGCGGCAGAAAAGTAAACTGCCAGTAATTGAAAAATGAATTAAAATGTTTTTCTTGGATATTTTTACATGGTTCGATTGAGCTCGTCGAGCTCTACAAAACTGTATATATTGAAAATTTTTTGAGTCTTTCTTTTTTGATTAAAATTTCAAAAAACTATTTGGAAAATCTTAAAAAATGTTAAAAAAGTCACGTTTTTGATATGGAAGAAAAACACTCGAATTTTCAATAAAATTTCCTTTTTTCTGATTATTTTTATTTCCTCAGATGTTTCGAAATATATTCATTCGATGCAGTTTTTCACACTGCATTGAATGAGTATATTTTCAAATATTTTACATAAGGATACTAATGGAAAACAGCTGAATTTAGTGTAAAAAAGACTACTTTTTTTCCCCTATAAAAAGTGTAAAAAATGAGGGTTTTTCGGTACATTCTTTAGACAGTTTTCAGTGAATTTTAACCCAACAACTCTGTTTGAAAATTTTTTAGTATATACAGTTTTGTAGAGCTCGACGAGCTCTATCGAACCATGCAAAAATATCTAAGAAAAACATCTTAACTCATTTTTCAATTATTGGTACTTTACTTTTCCGCCGCAAAAAAAGTATAAAATTTCTTAAAGCTTCGTAAGTTCGATATTAAAAAGTTTTCATAATCCTTACTATTTAGTATCAATAAACCACATTTTTGACAAGCTTCTATTTGATATAAAATTCATTATGTCTTCTATTTGAAATTATAGTGGTACCACTCTGGCAAAATGTTATTTCCCGCCCTGTACTTTCAACAAGAAATAATTGAAAGATCTAAAATATTCAGCATTTCTAAGCGAATGTCAAGCTAATTCTTATCTTATACATTGCTCTACAGGGTGTCGTAAAAGTCACCTACCAAAAAAAATTTAAACATCTCTCTTACGACCCGAACAAACGAGCTGATTTTTCTTTGTGAATGATAGAGGCATGTTCAAAGTCTATATTCATAAAGACATGCCTAGAGAGACCCTTTGTTAAGTATCACTATTGGCCTCAACAAAAAAATTTTTACTTTTTCACAGATTGGAAAAAACTATATACAGAGTGGTGCAAAAGTTAGTTTGCCGAAAAAACGAATTGAATATCTCTACTATGGCTCGAGCAAATGTGCTAATTTTTTTTATCAATGATAGGGATACGTTCAAGCTTTATATTCATAAAGGCATGCCTAAAGAGACTCTTTGTTAAGTATATTGTTTTCTTTTCCTATCTGTGAAAAAGTAATTTTTTTTTTTATTGAGATCAATAGTGATACTTAATAAAGAGTCTCTCAAGGCATGTCTTTATGGATATAAACTTTGAACATGCCTCTATCATTGACAAAAAAAATCAGCTTGTTTGTTCAAGCCGTAAGAGAGATATGCAAATTTTTTTTTGGTAGGTGACTTTTGCGACACTCTGTATTTGTAAATCTAACTTTTCTATTTCGAATGAAGGTATTTATCTAATCAATTGACATGATGAACAAGCTAGTCATAAATAATTAGTGGAAACTGAAACTAAAGAAAAATGTAAAGTACAATATTGATATGCGATAGGATTTCATTAATTGATTTATTTTTATCATTAAGCATGATCAATTCATGATTTTATTCCATCATCATCTGTATTAACTAAATTAACTGCTGTTGAACTTAGTCTTGTTTATCATGGTGTTCGTCATGATCATAATTATGTTAGCCAATCATGTATCGTTGATCTTTTGGAGAAAATTTTCAATGAAACTGTTATTAGACAAAATATTTCTTCTGGTAAATTAAAAAAACGTGACTTAGCAGTAAATGTTCTTGGTAAGATAATCTCATCTTTTGATATAAAAACATTTATCTAATATGGAATAATATAAGAAACTATTCAATATCTTGGTGTTAGAAGATATTCATGGTCAATATTCTTTACACTTTGTTTTACAGTTTGCATTTAATTTTTAGCTCTTTTTTTTTTTTTATTTCTCAAATTATTGAATAAATAAACAAATCTTATTTTTATTCGTTATCATTTGATGGATTCAACAAAGGAAATATAAAGATGTTTCCATTCACTATTAACTATTTTATGCTTCAATCTAGTATAACAAAATCTGTACTAGAAGTAGTTGAACAACTTCGTGAATCAGCTGAACATATTGTTGGTGCATTACGTGATGCATTAAAACAAAATAACATTGATATTTGACAAATGACTTCTACCAGTGCTGATAATACCAATACAAATTACGGTCAACACTATTCAGTATTTAGTATAATAAAACTAGAAGTTTGAAATCTGTTAAAAGATAATAATATACTTTCAAAAAAAAAACCGAATAGTTCTAGAAATCTATCCTTTTCTTTCTTATCAGAGAATTGTTACTCTCACATCTTAAACAATTTGATCAAAACTTCTCATCAATATCTTCTAGTTGATGTCGAATTACATTTAGCTCAATTATACAGTCATTTTAGTTCATCATCATCATCAAAACGAGTTGCAAATCTCAAAGAATAGCAAGTATGATTTATTTTTTATATCTTATACGGATAAGAAATTGCTATCTGTTTAGTGCTTATTACAACAAATAAAAATTTTATTGGTTAACCTCGTTTATATCAATAGATCGATTGTTGAACGTTTATGAACCATTATCTGGATTATTTTTCCTACATTGATGATATGAATGAAGATACAACAACATGTCCATCAATGATTAAGAATTTCTTCTCATTAAAATGTAGCTAAATGTAATAGATGATTCAGAATAAATGGCCATGTTTTGCATTTTATTTTTTTCATTATCTAATATGTTTTATTATAAAGCAAAATATACCACAAGATGCAGCGTAAAAAGTTCTACAATTTACATAAAGTTGCTTATTTTATAGTTGCACTTTTCGTTTTCAAAATGGGCAAAATTTTGAGCGATCAAATTTCGACCGTGAGAAAATTGATCACATAGAATTTTGCTTTTTTTTGAAAACAATTACAATAAGCTTTATTGTGTAAATTGTAGAGTTTTTCACGCTTCATCTTCTGATATATTTTGTTTGTTTTTTTTACAAAGACATATTAGGTGATAAAAAGATGAAATAAGAAAAAAGAAATTTCTTGTTCGTGTAGAAAAAGCAATGATTTTTTTCGTAACGATGAAAATTTGTCGCACAGAATTTTGTTTTGTTTTTTTTGAAAACAAAAAGTGCAATTATAAAATAAGCACTCTTATGTAAATTGTAGAACTTTTCATGCTGCATCTTCTAGTATGTTTTGTTGTTTTTAATACAAGGTGTTTACAGGTAAAAAGAATAAAACGCAAAGTACGGCCATTTATTCTGAATCACCTGATATATTATATTTTTTACATAATATTTTCTTTGATGTTCAAATGAAAAACTTAGATCTTTAACAATATGATACATCAATAGTTGATTTACATCGGATTATTACAACTTTACTTGAAAAGCTGAATAATCGATTAGAGCAAAACTATTTTGGTTATAATACACGATTACTACTAAATTCAATGTCAAAAAAAAGAACAAGAATAAGTAACATCTTCGTTTAGAAACTATTTATCAAATATTATTAAATATATAAACAAATATTATATAGAACATTCATTATTAGCTGAAACAG